TGACCATTTCATTGGTGAAACCATGACCCAATAGACATTTTTTCTTTTGAAACTCCGGACATTATCCATGTATGTTCTCAAAGGAAAGGAATACACAGGATTTAGTTTGATATTTTTTTCACTATTTTCTGTTCCACCAGATTTATTTGAAGATCTCCTGTCCTGCATCCACTGCCCAATGCAGAAGGCCACACATAGGACAACCAACATGAGAACTTCACTGCTACAGCCTGATTAAATCACCATGAGAATATAATTTTCCTTTCATCATCAAAGATTTTTACATCAACTTAACCAGCTCTCTTGCTTTCCCATGTTTTTCCCTGGTTTTTGTGCCTTGAAATGGGTGTTTACTCTTCTCAGTCTTGATCTACATCTTCCCTCGTATTTCCAAACATATTCATCTGGGAAACATGTAAAGATTTATTCAGGGCTTGTTTCATTGTTTTCAAATATCTGCCCTTGAAATTCAACTTCCACCACTGTCTCTCATATCCAAAGCTATGTGCTTGCACAGGATATCTGCTGAGAAATTTCACAGAAAGCTCTTATACTGCAGGTGAATGATTCCAGCAAGTCTTGACTGAATAGCTTAGGGAACAGGACTCAGACAAATGACAGACATGACAAGGGAAAAGCATATGCTCAAGGATAGGACATGTCAGAGAACATCTGCCAGGCCCTGGCATATTTCATATCCCATTGAAAGTACATCCATGTGTAGATTGGCAAGCATTTCCATCCCCAAATTCTGAGCAGTGAAGCCTTCAGTGAGAATCCTGTGGCATACCAGGCCAAGAATATTCATCCTATTTAAATCTTGCCCTACAAGGTCCTCTGTGCCACTGAGGTCTCCATGGCAACGCCCAGCATTGTGACTCAGGTCTCCTACTGCACACTTGTATCCTAGAGCCTAAAGTCCAGCTCACAATGGTGCTCAGCCAATCACAGCCCAGTGTGGTTGCTTGGCAACCACTAGCTTGTGGCTTTCTGTGAACTGTTTCAGCCCAACTCTGCAGCTTTCCACCTCATACAACCACAGCCATTCCAATCATGCAGTATTTGATTAGCCTCTCTATGTTGCCTCAGAATTTTTTTACAGTTGTAGTGATCAAGAAAATTTGACATATTTTGAGAAGTGGAGGGAAGTAATTGAAAGACCTTTTGGTCTGTCTGTGGTCGATGTGTTCCAAACTTGAGTACCCCAGTCTTTTAAATTTTCAAACCTAGAGCCTAAAATCCACCTCACAGTGATGTTCAGCCAATCTCAGCCCAGTGTGGTTGCCTGGCAAACACAAGCCTGTGGATTTCTGTGAACAGTTTCAGCCCAACTCTGCAGCTTTCCACCTCATACAACCACAGCCATTCCAATCAGGCAGTATTTGATTCACCTCTCTAAGTTGCCTCAGAATTTTCTTTGAAGTTGTGGTGACCAAGCAAATTTGACATATTTTGACAAGTGGAGGGAAGTAATTGGCTCTGTCTTTAGCTCTGTTGGTGGTACATGGGGTCCAAACCTGACTAGCCCAGTCTATTCAATTTTCAAACTTAGAAAGCCAAATGTTTCAGGCGAGGAAAGAAAATGCCACAATGATTTGGGTTCTGCCATGTTTCTGGTGGCTTGGAAAGCAAACCTGCAAACCATACATGCAGTCTCTGCTGGATTACTGCCACCATGGTAGTATCAGTTAGCACTAAAAGCCAGCAACCAGAAGATGAGTCCCAAAATGAAAGTGAATCCTTGCAGTGCATGAATATTTGGAGTGCCTGCTTCAACTATCCAGCTTCCTCGGGGTTCACTTGTCTGCAATAGCTATTTCAAGGTGGTCTGCAGCCATTCCAGCATAACCCTGAACACTAAACATGAGGTCCTAGCTCAATACCTAACCCAACATAATGCTAGATAGCTTGTCACCAGCAGGTTTTCCCAGAATTCAAATGTAACATGGTGAAAGGGAAACCCTTAGAAAAGGGATGCAAATGCCCCTTTCACTAAAAATCCCAGGCATTTTCTCATGGCATGGAATATTTAGACTTCACAACTCATGTAGAGAACCCCGGGACCTAGACCAAGTGTGTCTACTTTTCTGTTGTCCTCTTTTTGGAAACAGCATCTTATGTAGTTGTTGAAAGAGGCCTTGAGATAAATTCGTAGCCCACGATGGACTGGAACTCCCAAGGATCCATCCACCTCAGCCCCCAGATTGCTGGGATTATAGGCATGAGCGACCATGCCAAGCATGTGCACAGAGATTCTTACATAATTTGTGAAATCCCACTACTTGTCTATAGGTAGCTTCTGTGTTTCAGGCTTTAGGAATATTCCTCTCTTTGTTTTGGTTCCCCTTGTTCAGGTTTCCATTTCTATTGTGATAAGCTCCAAGGCCCCAGGCAAGGGGGTGGCTGCCCTTCCTCTGGTGTGCTTGGATGATTACAGCCCAGGTGAACAGGGTTCAAATATATTGGATCCTGTGCATTTGAAGAGGAAATGAGTAAAGATTCATGAGTTAATGTGGACATGCCAGGGAATTGAGGGGCCATGAGAGAGACAAAACTTCAGGCCATGGCCTGAAGGCTGAGGTTTCTGTACCTCTAGCTTCTTGAATAGTGGGCCTGCTGAGCAATTGTGTGCTCTCAAATGTAATTTGATGTGTTTTGTTTTAATTTATTTTGTTTTTTGCCTTGGTTTTTTACATGGAAGGAACAGTACCATGGTTTGAAGAAACCGGAGTGTCTTACCTAAGAGAAACTTGAAAAAAGGGACAATTCAGCAGCCAAGAATTTCTCAAATGCCCTTGGCTTTTTCAAAAATGTGACATAAAGTTGAGCATGTCATATCCATGTCTCTTTACAAAAGGTTTTACCTCCTATTTCATAGGAATTACTGTTTCTTTGAAAGGTCAACCTGCACTGAAATAAAGATTATCCCTGGATTCCTCATTCTGCTTGAAACCACATCCTTTGTTAGTTATATTGTCTTACTCAGAAACACTTGGAGATGACCACAGCAAGAGTTTCCCATTGGTGGAATTTCCACGGAGACACATGAAGTAATACTGCACAACTTCAAGTGAAGTGCACTGTCCCTTGACAATGGCAAGTCTGGGCAAACCTCTAGTAACTGAAAACCTTAGAAAGTCTGAAAGCGAGTGAATGAAAATGGGCCTCTCCACATTTAGACAGGGACTCTCCTGAAGCACACATTTGTGGAAAAAGTAATTATGAGAGACGAATGAACTCCCAAAACGGAATGGAAATTTTCTTGTTTAGGCCTAGAACGCTATGGCCTGGAGCCCTGTGGTTCTAACTGGATGAGCAAAGTGTGAGCAGAGATCAAAGTAAAACACACCCCATTTAGGCAACTCGATATTTAACCAGGTGTCCAGAGTAGTGGCAAACGGTACTTGTGTCAATTTGCCCAAATCCTGTCTTCACAAGAAAGTACATTCCAGCACGACCAGTGACTAGAGGAGGACACATTTCAAAGGACTTGTAAAAAAAAGTCCAACACTGAATTTAGCACAACACTGAATTTAGATGAAAAGTAGCAGAGTCTGTTAGTCTTTCAAGTTTTAATAGGAGAAACTTATTACATGTAATAGCTGTTACATGAATAACTTCAGAGCTTTTGGAGAGGTCTAAATCACTATGAGTGAGGGCTTCCCTGACTCCCAAAGTTAAAAATAGTAAAACAAACAATTTGAAAAAGCAATCAACCAATTAAATACAAACACTAGGTCCAAAAGGTTTCACTGGTTTTAAAACCACTTATGGAATGCACAACTATTGATGAGGCTTACTCTGCATTCTGCTTTATTCAGGCCCAGTACATGAGCAACTGTGGAAGCAAAATTCAAAATGTTATGTGAAGTGACCATTTCATTGGTGAAACCATGACCCAATAGACATTTTTTCTTTTGAAACTCCGGACATTATCCATGTATGTTCTCAAAGGGAAGGAATACACAGGATTTAGATTGATACTTTTTTCACTATTTTGTGTTCCACCAGATTTATTTGAAGATCTCCTGTCCTGCATCCACTGCCCAATGCAGAAGGCCACACATAGGACAACCAACATGAGAACTTCACTGCTACAGCCTGATTAAATCACCATGAGAATATAATTTTCCTTTCATCATCAAAGATTTTTACATCAAATTAACCAGTTCTCTTGCTTTCCCATGTTTTTCCCTGGTTTTTGTGCCTTGAAATGGATGTTCACTCTTCTGAGTCTTGATCTACATCTTCCCTCGTATTTCCAAACATATTCATCTGGGAAACATGTAAAGATCTTATTCGGGGCTTGTTTCATTGTTTTCAAATATCTGCCCTTGAAATTCAACTTCCACCACTGTCTCTCATATCCAAAGCTATGTGCTTGCAGAGGATTTCTGCTGAGAAATTTCACAGAAAGCTCTTATACTGCAGGTGAATGATTCCAGCAAGTCTTGACTCAATAGCTTAGAGAACAGGACTCAGCCAAATGACAGACATGACAAGGGAAAAGCATATGCTCAAGGATAGGACATGTCAGAGAACATCTGCCAGAGAACATCTGCCAAGAGAAATTTTAAAAAAGGGACAATTCAGCAGCCAAGAGTTTCTCAAATGCCCTTGGCTTTTTAAAAAATGTGACATAAAGTTGAGTATGTCATATCCATGTCTCTTTACAAAAGATTTTACCTCCTATTTTGTAGGGAGCCGAGTGACAGGCACTGCTGCCTAGATGTCTCTCTCTCTCTCTCTCCTATGGGCACTGCGTCTGCCTACATTAACCATAATCCTCTTCTGCTTACGACACTTATCCGGATGTGAATTTAACCCTGTTGTATTCATCTGTTTAACCTCTTCCTGTCCCAGCTCCCGCCCTTAGCGTATAAAAGGTGTGATTATTTTCTCAATAAACCAGAGTCTTGATTGGGTTAACATCAACTTGCCTTCGTCTCTTTTTGTATCCCCTATGTCTTTTATTTAATCCCCGTTTCCCCTCCAGGAGTTCTGAACTTGTTGATCTGCAGGCCGGAACAAGTGGCTCCCAACGTGGGGCTCCTGGCACGGAGAAGTTAACGAGGGAGCCGTTCGAGAGACAGCCGGCTTAAACCGAAAGTGAAAGCAAATTGAACCAGAGACCTCGGCCGAGGAATGAGTAAACTAAATCAAGGATTAAAGCTTAAAGCAACAGGACATTAAATCAAGTGCCGAGACCTGCGCAGACGACTACCCGACGTCCTGCCCGAGTCACGGTGAGTGAACGGCAACCCCATTTCCATTTCCCGACATGGGTCAAGTATTGAGCAAACACGAAGTGTTCGTCGGAGGCCTTATAAAGGCATGAAAGACAAGAGAGATAAGGGTTGGAACAAAAATTATTACAGTATTTTCAATTTATTCTAAGGTTTGCCCTAGAGTGTTCTATAGATACCAAGAGGTGGAATAGAGTAAGAGATGTTTTAAAAGATTATTATAGAGTTTTCAGTCCAAAAAAGGTTCCTGTGACCACCTTTACATATTGGAATTTAATCTCTGAGCTGCTTGCCCAGAGGCATGCAGACCCTCAGGTTGAGGAGACAGTTGCACTGGGTGAGGCTGCCCTGCGTGACTCCCTTAAATCTACCTCAAAACCGTCCTCAGAAAAATTTGAAGCCTCTGATTTCTCAGATGCAGAGAATGATGGCCTGTTAGAGGTCCTTGTACATGGTGATCTGCCACCACTTCCACCTGTTGACGTGATCAGCAGGTCCCAGGATGGCAGCCCGCTACTCCCTGTGCCTCCATGGCCAATTGGGGATTCATATAAGCCTTTAGAAACAACCTTAACTCTGAAAAGCTTGCAGCCACACAACAGCTGGTGCAGGACCAGTTAGATGCAGGACACATTGTTCCTAGTAATTCCCCTTGGAACACACCTATCTTTGTTATCCGGAAAAGGTCAGGAAAGTGGAGGCTGCTACAAGACCTTAGGGCGATAAATAAGACAATGGTCTTAAAGGGGCCTCTACAGCCTGGCCTCCCCTCAGTGCCATTCCTTTAGGATTTTTTAAAATTGTCATAGATCTTAAAGATTGCTTTTTCTCTATTCCTTTATACTTCATGACTTCCAAAAACTATTGGGAGACATTAATTGGCTCATACCATTTTTAAAACTAACTAAACATGATTTACAGCCCCTTTATGCGCTGCTTCGGGGAGACATAGATCCAACTTCCCCCGAGAGCTTACACCTGATGCCAGGAGAGCGCTCAGTAAAGTAGAAGAGGCTATTGCTCAACAAACTGTTTCCTTTATGGACTACAATGAGCCTTTACAGTTTCTCATTTTTAATACAAGGCTTTGCCCTACAGCAGTGTTCTGGCAGCAAGCTCCCCTCATGTGGGTCCATTTACCAGTCTCTCCAAAAAGAACACTTTTGCCTTATTTCCAAGCTGTCTCAGACCTAATAATCCAGGGTAGAAAGCAGGGAAAATGTTACTTTGGCAAAGAACCAGATATTATCATTCAACCTTTTACAAAAGACCAAATAGATTGGCTACTTCAGAGTACGGAAGTGTGGCCTATTGCCTTAGCTTCCTATTCAGGGACTATTGACAATCATTACCCTCCAAATAAGCTAGATGACTTTGCTAATCGTCACTCATTTATATTCCCTAAAGTCACAGCTTCACAACCCCTTCCGGGTGCCCTGGTTTTATTCACTGATGGCTCATCCTCTGGAAGGGCTGCTTATGTATCTCAAGACAATGTTTCTACCCTCCAGGCAGATACTTCCTCTGCACAATTAGCAGAGTTAGAAGCTATTCTTGCAGCTTTTGCTGCTTACTCTGACCAACCATTTAATTTGTATACTGACAGTGCTTACCTTGCCCAGTCTGTTCCATTATTAGAGACTGTTGCTATTATATGTCATGCTTCCCCAGCTGCAAATCTGTTCAAACAATTACAATGCTTCATATGGCTTCGCAGTCATAAGTTCTTTATCGGTCATCTACGAGCTCATTCCAACCTCCCAGGGCCTCTTGCCCAAGGAAATCATTTGGCTGATGTTGCTGTACCAGCACAGGTTTTTATGGCTCAGGACTCCAAGGTGTCTGAGGCCCAACAAGCCCACCAGTTACACCACCTCAATGCTCACACCCTCCGCCTTCTCTACAAAATTACCCATGAGCAAGCCAGACAAATTGTAAAAAATTGCCCATCTTGTGCTATCCACTCACCTGTTCAACACCTAGGAGTCAACCCTAGAGGTTTAATTCCTAACGCCTTATGGCAAATGGATGTTACCCATTTCAATGAGTTTGGCAATCTAAAATATGTACATGTCATTATTGACACTTATAGTGGCTTCATTTTTGCCACTCTCCAGACTGGAGAAGCTGCTAAACACATTATAGCCCATATGCTGTCAGCCTTCTCAGTTCTGGGATGTCCTCAACAGCTCAAGACCGATAATGGCCCTGGCTATACCAGTACCTCCTTTGCCCAATTTTGTAAAAGCCTTAATATCCTCCACACTACAGGTATACCTTACAATCCTCAGGGACAAGGCATTGTTGAACGTGCGCATCGTTCTCTTAAATTCACCATAGATAAAATAAAAAGGGAGACATGGTACCCCACCCAGGGGTCCCCTAGAAATGTCCTTTCACATGCTCTTTTTATTTTAAATTTTCTGACCCTGGATGCTTCAGGCTGCTCCGCAGCATCTCGGTTTTGGCATACTCAGACTCAAACACGGTTTGCATCTGTTTTATGGAGAGACCCACTAACCAATGTGTGGAATGGCCCTGATCCAGTCCTTATCTGGGGACGAGGTTCAGTGTGTGTTTACTCTCAACAAGATAGAGAAGCTAGATGGCTACCTGAACGCCTCGTAAAGCAAGTAGACAGTTCTTCAAAGACCCCATGTAACGCCCAGGAATAATGTTATTTCCTGAGGCACAATCCCCTGTGTTCTCTTACAGGTGACACATCTCCTTGGAGCCTTATGCTGCTTAACCAGCCTTCTTGAGCCACACCACACCCATGGTGGATTTTGACCCCTGCCAAACAGACTGCAACTGCTGACAGCCATGCACAGAACCCCATGACTGCGGAAGAGGCTCTTCTCGGTCTGGAGGAACATACGCCAGCCAAATAGACTGCATCCAGTGTTATTCAAGGCATGCTCCAAGACACAGAAGAATGACTTCATACAGAGACACCAACAAATGGCTGTCAACCCCTTCTCCTTGATTTGGGGGGGGGGGAGTTTTTCCCTTACCTAATGCCCCTTTTGGGTCCCCTAGCTGACCTATTGTTTCTCATTTCTGTGAGTCTTGTATTTTTCAGAGGATTATGATGTTCATTAATAACCGGATAGACGCATTTATGGCAAAGCCCATTCAGGTACACTATCATCAGCTGGAGTTGGCAGATCAACAAACCTACAGGGAAGGAATTCCCATGAGTGGCTCATATGATGATGCGGCCTGACTGCCCTGGGGCAATGGACAGGCAGTCAGAGACGGGCAACTAGGACATGCATGTTAATTCCAATGGCCACCTAAGACAGGCACAGGACCAACTGCTGTTCTGCAAGCCCATGACGGGTAATGCCTGGTTGGGTTCATGCAATGAGGTCCTTGACCTAAGACAGACACTGTCCTCACAGGGCCTGCCATACTCTTAATTAAATAATATAAAAAGGGAGGAGATGTAGGGAGCCGAGTGACAGGCACTGCTGCCTAGATGTCTCTCTCTCTCTCTCCTATGGGCACTGCGTCTGCCTACATTAACCATAATCCTCTTCTGCTTACGTCACTTATCCAGATGTGATGGTAACCCTGTTGTATTCATCTGTTTAACCTCTTCCTGTCCCAGCTCCCGCCCTTAGCCTATAAAAGGTGTGATTATTTTCTCAATAAACCGGAGGCTTGATTGGGTTAACATCAACTTGCCTTCGTCTCTTTTTGTCGCCCTATGTCTTTTATTTAATCCCCGTTTCCCCTCCAGGAATTCTGAACTTGTTGATCTGCAGGCCAGATCACTATTTCATAGGAATTACTGTTTCTTTGAAAGGTCAACCTGCACTGAAATAAAGATTATCCCTCCATTCCTCATTCTGCTTGAAACCACATCCTTTGTTAGTTATATTGTCTTACGCAGAAACACTTGGAGATGACTACAGCAAGAGTTTCCCATTGGTGGAATTTCCACGGACACACATGAAGTAATACTGGACAACTTCAAGTGAAGTGCACTGTGCCTTGACAATGGCAAGTCTGGGCAAACCTCTAGTAACTGAAAATCTTAGAAAGTCTGAAAATGATTGAATGAAAATGGGCCTTTCCACATTTAGACAGGGACTATCCTGAAGCACACATTTGTGGAAAAAGTAATTATGAGAGACGAATGAACTCCCAAAACGGAATGGAAATTTTCTTGTTTAGGCCTAGAACGCTATGGCCTGGAGCCCTGTGGTTCTAACTGGATGAGCAAAGTGTGAGCAGAGATCAAAGTAAAACACACCCCATTTAGGCAACTCGATATTTAACCAGGTGTCCAGAGTAGTAGCAAAATGTACTTGTGTCAATTTGCTCAAATCCTGTCTTCACAAGAAAGTACATTCCAGCATGACCGGTGACTAGAGGACACATTTCAAAGGACTTGTAAAAAAAACGTCCAACACTGAATTTAGCGCAACACTGAATTTAGATGAAAAGTAGCAGAGTCTGTTAGTCTTTCAAGTTTTAATAGGAGAAACATATAACATGTTATAGCTGTTACATGAATAACTTCTGAGCTTTTGGAGAGGTCTAAATCACTATGAGTGAGGGCTTCCCTGACTCCCAAAGTTAAAAATAGTAAAACAAACAATTTGAAAAACCAATCAACCAATTAAATACAAACACTAGGTCCAAAGCGTTTCACTGGTTTTAAAACCACTTATGGAATGCACAACTATTGATGAGGCTTACTCTGCATTCTGCTTTATTCAGGCCCGGTACATGAGCAACTGTGAAAGCAAAATTCAAAATGTTATGTGAAGTGACCATTTCATTGGTGAAACCATGACCCAATAGACATTTTTTCTTTTGAAACTCCGGACATTATCCATGTATGTTCTCAAAGGAAAGGAATACACAGGATTTAGTTTGATATTTTTTTCACTATTTTCTGTTCCACCAGATTTATTTGAAGATCTCCTGTCCTGCATCCACTGCCCAATGCAGAAGGCCACACATAGGACAACCAACATGAGAACTTCACTGCTACAGCCTGATTAAATCACCATGAGAATATAATTTTCCTTTCATCATCAAAGATTTTTACATCAACTTAACCAGCTCTCTTGCTTTCCCATGTTTTTCCCTGGTTTTTGTGCCTTGAAATGGGTGTTTACTCTTCTCAGTCTTGATCTACATCTTCCCTCGTATTTCCAAACATATTCATCTGGGAAACATGTAAAGATTTATTCAGGGCTTGTTTCATTGTTTTCAAATATCTGCCCTTGAAATTCAACTTCCACCACTGTCTCTCATATCCAAAGCTATGTGCTTGCACAGGATATCTGCTGAGAAATTTCACAGAAAGCTCTTATACTGCAGGTGAATGATTCCAGCAAGTCTTGACTGAATAGCTTAGGGAACAGGACTCAGACAAATGACAGACATGACAAGGGAAAAGCATATGCTCAAGGATAGGACATGTCAGAGAACATCTGCCAGGCCCTGGCATATTTCATATCCCATTGAAAGTACATCCATGTGTAGATTGGCAAGCATTTCCATCCCCAAATTCTGAGCAGTGAAGCCTTCAGTGAGAATCCTGTGGCATACCAGGCCAAGAATATTCATCCTATTTAAATCTTGCCCTACAAGGTCCTCTGTGCCACTGAGGTCTCCATGGCAACGCCCAGCATTGTGACTCAGGTCTCCTACTGCACACTTGTATCCTAGAGCCTAAAGTCCAGCTCACAATGGTGCTCAGCCAATCACAGCCCAGTGTGGTTGCTTGGCAACCACTAGCTTGTGGCTTTCTGTGAACTGTTTCAGCCCAACTCTGCAGCTTTCCACCTCATACAACCACAGCCATTCCAATCATGCAGTATTTGATTAGCCTCTCTATGTTGCCTCAGAATTTTTTTACAGTTGTAGTGATCAAGAAAATTTGACATATTTTGAGAAGTGGAGGGAAGTAATTGAAAGACCTTTTGGTCTGTCTGTGGTCGATGTGTTCCAAACTTGAGTACCCCAGTCTTTTAAATTTTCAAACCTAGAGCCTAAAATCCACCTCACAGTGATGTTCAGCCAATCTCAGCCCAGTGTGGTTGCCTGGCAAACACAAGCCTGTGGATTTCTGTGAACAGTTTCAGCCCAACTCTGCAGCTTTCCACCTCATACAACCACAGCCATTCCAATCAGGCAGTATTTGATTCACCTCTCTAAGTTGCCTCAGAATTTTCTTTGAAGTTGTGGTGACCAAGCAAATTTGACATATTTTGACAAGTGGAGGGAAGTAATTGGCTCTGTCTTTAGCTCTGTTGGTGGTACATTGGGTCCAAACCTGACTAGCCCAGTCTATTCAATTTTCAAACTTAGAAAGCCAAATGTTTCAGGGGAGGAAAGAAAATGCCACAATGATTTGGGTTCTGCCATGTTTCTGGTGGCTTGGAAAGCAAACCTGCAAACCATACATGCAGTCTCTGCTGGATTACTGCCACCATGGTAGTATCAGTTAGCACTAAACGCCAGCAACCAGAAGATGAGTCCCAAAATGAAAGTGAATCCTTGCAGTGCATGAATATTTGGAGTGCCTGCTTCAACTATCCAGCTTCCTCGGGGTTCACTTGTCTGCAATAGCTGTTTCATGGAGGTCTGCAGCCATTCCAGCATAACCCTGAACACTAAACATGAGGTCCTAGCTCAATACGTAACCCAACATAAGGCTAGATAGCTTGTCACCAGCAGGTTTTCCCAGAATTCAAATGTAACATGGTGAAAGGTAAACCCTTAGAAAAGGGATGCAAATGCCCCTTTCACTAAAAATCCCAGGTATTTTCTCATGGCATGGAATATTTAGACTCCACAACTCATGTAGTGAACCCTGGGACCTAGACCAAGTGTGTCTAGTTTTCTGTTGTCCTCTTTTTGGAAACAGCATCTTATGTAGTTGTTGAAAGAGGCCTTGAGATAAATTCGTAGCCCACGATGGACTGGAACTCCCAAGGATCCATCAACCTCAGCCCCCAGATTGCTGGGATTATAGGCATGAGCGACCATGCCAAGCATGTGCACAGAGATTCTTACATAATTTGTGAAATCCCACTACTGGTCTATAGGTAGCTTCTGTGTTTCAGACTTTAGGAATATGCCTCTTTGTTTTGGCTCCCCTTGTTCAGGTTTCCATTTCTATTGTGATAAGCTCCAAGGCCCCAGGCAAGGGTGTGGCTGCCCTTCCGCTGGTGTGTCCTTGGATGATTACAGCCCAGGTGAACAGGGTTCAAATATATTATATCCTGTGCATTTGAAGAGGAAATGAGTAAAGATTCATGAGTTAAAGTGGACATGCCAGGGAATTGAGGGGCCATGATAGAGACAAAACTTCAGGCCATGGGCTGAAGGCTGAGGCTTCTGTACCTGTAGCTTCTTGAATAGAGGGTCTACTGAGCAATTGTGTGCTCTCAAATGTAATTTGATGGGTTTTGTTTTAATTTATTTTGTTTTTTGCTTTGGTTTTTTACATGGAAGGAACAGTACCATGGTTTGAAGAAACTGGAGTGTCTTACCTAAGAGAAATTTGAAAAAAGGGACAATTCAGCAGCCAAGAATTTCTCAAATGCCCTTGGCTTTTTAAAAAATGTGACATAAAGTTGAGCATGTCATATCCATGTCTCTTTACAAAAGATTTTACCTCCTATTTCATAGGAATTACTGTTTATTTGAAAGGTCAACCTGCACTGAAATAAAGATTATCCCTCCATTCCTCATTCTGCTTGAAACCACATCCTTTGATAGTTATATTTTCTTACACAGAAACACTTGGAGATGACTACAGCAAGTGTTTCCCATTGGTGGAATTTCCACGGACACACATGAAGTAATACTGCACAACTTCTCGTGAAGTGCACTGTGTCTTGACAATGGCAAGTGTGGGCAAACCTCTAGTAACTGAAAATCTTAGAAAGTCTGAAATTTAGTGAATGAAAACGGGCCTTTCCACATTTAGACAGGGACTCTCCTGAAGCCCACAATTGTGGAAAAAGTAATTATGAGAGACAAATGAACTCCCAAAACGGAATGGAAATTTTCTTCTTTAGGCCTAGAACGCTATGGCCTGGAGCCCTGTGGTTCTAACTGGATGAGCAAAGTGTGAGCAGAGATCAAAGTAAAACACA